ACAACTAAATGAACGGATTTTCTTTTATTTTTTTCTCACTTGGAAAAAATTTAAAAATTATTATACCCGTTACTCGTAAAGTAAAAGGGTATATTGTATTCATGCAAAAGTATGTAACAGCTAGGAGGAAGCGTTTCCCATAAAGTATATATATTCTTGATCAGGGTCACTAGCCGAGTCGATCTAGCCATGTCCGTCTGACCGTCTGTCTGTCCGTCTGTCTGTCTGTCTGTCTGTATGAACGCTGAGATCTCGGAAACTACAAAAGCTCAAAGGCTGAGATTTCCCACAAATATTCTTGGGCTTCCTACGCTGCACAAGTTTACTTCAGCGGAGCGCCACGCCCCCTTCAACACCCACAATCGCCCACTAACGACTTTAAAATGTGTCTGGCACCCACAGCACGCCTAAAAACCGAAATTAGTTTTACAACTTCTACTTAAAGATACAACTTTAAGCAAACTAATAAGACCAACAGCTCAAAAATCAACCAAGGGTTCCATTTTATATAGATTTTTCAAGTTGGAAAAAAAGGGTATTACAGCCCTGTTAAGGCCCTGTTGTCTCAGTTAACAGCTGTAAACGGCCAAAAAATGACCGTTGTCCCAAACTTCAAATATTCATATAAAATTCATTTGCTGGTGGATTCTTATGATCATTAGCTTGTTTATTTTTTCAAAGTACCATCTACCAGAAGAGGCTGTAAAACTAATTTCGGTTTTTAGGCGTGTATTTTTATTTGATTTTTTTTTGCATTTTTGTCAACTTTTTTAACTTTGACAAGGTGCAGCTTCTAAACTAATGACTGGAACTCAATGCTGTGTATAGGAAAGTTAAAGGGATCACTAGCCGAGTCGATCTAGCCATGTCCGTCTGTCTGTCCGTCTGTCTGTCTGTATGAACGCTGAGATCTCGGAAACTATAAAAGCTAGAAGATTGACATTTTGCATGCAGATTCTAGGAGTTCCTACGCAGCGCAAGTTTGTTTCAAAAGGGTGCCACGCCCCCTCTAACGCCCACAAAGTTTTTAAATCGGACCATTCGTTAAAAAGTTACGGGGGCGTGGCGCCCTTTTGAAACAAACTAGTTTCTTCTTAAAAACTACCTACAACAAAAAAATGTAACTACAAAGATTAACCTTATGATGTTTTTTTTACATATTTAATTGCCTTTAACAATACCTCATCAAAAGATATTCCGAATTTTAGCTATTTATAGCTGTTTTACCGTTAAACTAGCGAGTTTTTCCAAAAGTGGTAGAACAAAAGTTTTTTATATCGATGTGATGAACGTCATATCAAATTTTCAAAACTTAAAAAACATGTTTTGGACAAACTGACAAACTGACAAACTGACAAACAGAATTAAATTTTCATTTTGGGAAGACGTAGAAAATCTTATTTTGGCTATAACTTTTGAACGGAGCGTCGGATTTTATCATATGACCCCTCATTCGATGGGTATTTTTAATAGGAACACAAATAAAGCATTGCGAGGGGGCATTTATCCCCACCGGCCCCAACAGCTCCAAATTTCGAAATTTGCACTTTCTCACTTTCACTGCTCTCTCTCCCAAGCCAATTGATTTTCAGTCTTGGTATGCAATCCTTTAAGTTTTTGCAATACCTTTCGATTGGTGTATTACTCATTACGATCGGACTATCACAGTAGATTTTCATTTCTTCGTGTATATATAGTAGTCGCCTTCGCACACTCTCCTGGTGCGCTTCGTCACTACATGGACTGCCGTCCATAGTGATCATCAGTGTCAGTAAAAGCAAGGTAATAGTCTAGAAGAGCGGCCTGAGCACCAAAAACCGCGAAAAAATTACCCTCGATGGACCGCGATTTCTCTTGTAATTGCATTTCAAAGTTGCGTGTTTTGCTATAAAAACAAAGTAGGATTTTGAGGTGTTTTGTGTCATTTTGCTATAAAAACAATGAGCATTTTCTAGGAATTTATGGGTTTGCTATAAAAAACAAGTAGGCTTTTTTTGCTTAATCAGAAATGGCACTTTTGATTTTTGTTTACTATGGATTCCTGCAACGGGTGCACTATTTCTTATAAAGACTTTCTTGCCATGGACGAAGAAGAAGTGTTTGCATTTCTGCAGAGACATGGAGTTGTTCTAAAGAGCAAGGACTTTCCCAACTGCAGTAAGCCCGCAACATTGTCTTTCAATGCGAAGAGACCGATTAGTACGCCATTTTGGAGGTGCCGCAGGATGATAAGTAATCATCAACAGAAACGGAAATTAAGAAAAGTTCAATGCTCCTTTAAGGTAACAATTGTTTAATTTGAAAAAAATATTGCTTTAAATTATATTTGTAAGGAATCCGCCATCAAACGGACATTCTTCAGCAAGTCCCACGTTGGCATTGAACAGGCCTGTAATTTTGTGGCTTGGGAGATGAAGGGTTCAACAATCTCATTCCTTCGGGAGGAACTAGGCTGGTCTTAACAGACGGTGGTTGACTGGAGTAATTTTCTTCGGGAAATTTATCTTAGCTGGACGAAGAAGAACGCAAAACAAATAATAGGTGGAGACGGTTTAACCGTCGAAATTGACGAAACCAAAATTGGCCGGCGCAAGTATAATTGCGGTCGCGTGGTGGATGACCAGTGGGTTTTCGGAGGAATTTGCAGAGAAACCGGTGACTTTTTTTTGGTGCCTGTGGAGGACCGTAGCCAGGAAACGCTCCTTCCAATTATAGAGGCCAACATCGCCAATGGAACCAGAATTATATCCGACTGCTGGAAGTCATACAATGGTTTAAAGGATGCGAACTACTCTCACATGACCGTTAATCACTCAGTAAACTTCGTCGACCCTGAAACGGGAGCCAATACACAGCGAATAGAGAGACTATGGCGTGATCTAAAGGAGAACATTCCCCACTATGGCCGGAAAACGGAGCACTACCAAGGGTACCTAGCGCGATTCACTTTTTTGAAAAGGCACCCAAACCACACCTCAAGATTCCATGCAATTTTCTCAGCAATGGGCGAATTGTTTAATCCTGAACGCGATGTTAGTATTTAAAAAGAGATGGGAAATGCTAAAAAAGCGCCAAAGGCAAAAAAATTTAAAAAAAAAAATCGCGCGATTTTTGTACCACTAACCAGCATTTTTTATAAATAAATATTTACTGTCCAATCATTAACCATAGTTTAATATAGCATTTTATTTACTATTACAAATGAGTTACAAGTATAAGGAGGTACTGAACTAAAAACTCTCGTAATTGGCTTTGATAAAGACTAAGGTTGATCCTCCTCGGATTGCGATTTCTTAAGATTCATCTTAAAAATGTATATGTTGGTCATCCATGGTCGCCCAAGCTCTTAAGAAATCACGGTCCATCGAGGATATTAATGCGCGGTTGTGGGGTCTGGCCTGCTATAAAAACAATTTCACATTTTTGTCGAATTTTTTCGAATGCTTATTATTTTGACAACAAACGGAAAGCCCATATGTTTTTTATAGCAAAATGACACAAAACACCTCAAAATCCTAGAAAATCCTACTTTGTTTTTATAGCAAAACACGCAACTTTGAAATGCAATTACAAGAGAACAATGCATTTCCGCAAATAATCTTCTGCACGTAAATTCCTAAGAAATCGCGGTCCATCGAGGGTAATTTTTTCGCGGTTTTTGGTGCTCAGGCCGCTCTTCTAGACTATTACCTTTTTCTTCAAGCAAGGATGGCCAAAAGGTCTTTTGTTGATGCTAAGAGAAACATACTTTAAACCAGGGACCGAAAATAATGATTATTTTGTTTGAGTAAAAAATAAAAATCACCATTTAATAATTATTTTGTGAGCAAAAAAAAAATATCGCTCAGAAATAATGATTATTTTGTGAGCGATATTATTTCGCTTAAAATATCACTCAAAGTATGATTGCAGCCGTCCTACGCGGTATTTTACAATTATTTAAATTGACACTTGTAGGTAGAACCACGAAGCACATATCCAGCTAAGTAAAAAATACATTTTCTTTGTATAAACCGCTTAAAAAGCGGTTGACTTTTGTATAAAAAAATTTTTCTGTGGGAATCGGAACTCGTGCTTACAGCACGGGGGACCAACACCCTAACACCCAGCCCACATGTCGGGCTAATATATAAATGACATAAAGTCCTAAGGTTGCTACAACTTTTTGTATTTATGCATACCTCTTGTAAACAAATAACCGCGTTTTTAAAAGTTTATACGAAGAAAATACATTATTTTATTAACTCAATATGTGCTCCGAGGCTCTAACTACAAGTACAACTTTTTATTTTTTTTCGCTTACAAATAATCATTAAATTAATTTTAATTTTTTCATTTATAATGATTACGGTTCCTGCTTTAAACAAATATTTCGAAACAGCTGCAATAGCATAAGTTCATATTTAAAAGTTACAGGCAGTCAATTCCCGTTACTCAGCTAAAGGGAGTGCGAGGAAGATGGAGATATTAAACTTTGATCGGGCATAACTTTTTTACGAATGGTCCGATTTGAAACATTTCTTCTACATTTTGGTAGGTATAAATAAACACAACCAAATAACATTTATACTTCTCCAAAATTTGGGCGTTAGAGGGGGCGTGGCACTCGGCTGAAATAATCTAGCGCTGCGTAGGAAGCCAAAGAATATGTGTGGGTAATCCCAACTTTCTAGCTTTTGTAGTTTTCGAAATCACAGCGTTCATACGGACGGACAGACAGACATGGCTATATCGACTCGGCTAGTGACCCTGATCAAACGCTCCCTTCTTTATGTTACACACTTTTGCCAGAATACAATATATACGTAACATCTACCTATTCTACCACTTTTTAAAGTTACCTTACCGTTATATATTACTTAAGTGTTACTATAATATGCTTAAATTTTAAAAAATTATGTTGGTCAATTCTTTAAATCTATTTTTTAGAATTGTAATTTATTTTGAATTAAATACAGATGGCACATAAATATTAATATCACCTAATTTTACAAAAACAGGAATCTTTGCCTATCTAAATTATCTAACGCCGAAGTCACGCTTGGAGGTGCTTGATTTGTTGGTTACCGGCTTGAAGAGATTAGAGTACCGTGGTTATGACTCTACTGGAGTGGCAATCGACTCACCGGATAATAAGAATATCGTGATGGTCAAGCGTACGGGAAAGGTCAAAGTCCTTGAAGAGGCGATTCAGGAGCGTAAGTATTGATACATTTTCAATTGCGGTAAAAAAAATAGCGCCGATGTGTAGACAGTTTTTATTTTTGCTATAAAATGGGTAATTTTTGCATTCTTTTTTTCTGTTTTTGGTAATAACTTATTAATAACTAATAAGTAGTTTTACATAGTAATACATACATATATGTACTCACTAAAATAAGTGTTACAATGCTTGGAGCTTTCGATTTTTATTGAAGCAAAGTAGAGCGGCAGCCAAAATAGCACAATTATCGGTTCTTTAATAAAAACTTTACTTGTTCGAAAATTTTTCCTGTTTTTATTTATTTTTTGGTTGGATTGAAGAATAGTGCCGTTAATTGATTCGCCAAAGAAAATAATAAATTTCACTAATAAATTTGAATTCGTTACGATTGTCTTCGTGTTTATACCCTTGCAGAGGGTTTAAAAATGCATCGTAGAAGAAAATATTTTTATTTAATTTTTAAACGCTGTTCACAAATGAAGATTTTTAAAATTTGCTATGACTTTAAAATTTTGAATGCGCCTACCTACTCTTGTGGTTGAGTTGGATTGAATTTTCCAAAACGACCGAATAAAAGAGACAATTAACTATTAAATTCCGAAAAGATTACCAAAATTGGTTGACCATGTTTGCAACGCAGTGAAGGAGACGTTTCCGACCACATAAAGTATATATATTCTTGATCAGCATCAATAGCCGAGTCCATCTAACATTGTCCGTCTGTCCGTTTCTATGCGAACTAGTCCCTCAGCTTTAAAGCTATCGCGATGAAATCTTCCTTAAAGTCTTCTTTCTATTGCAGGTAGTACATATGTCGGAACGAGCCGGATCGGACCACTATATCTTATGGCTCCCATAGGAATAATCAAAAAAAATAATAGAAAAACCATTGTAACTTTGTAGAAAGTAGGCGTTTTGATTTTTGACAATGTAAAAACAACATTTTAAGTAGGCATACCTGCAAGGGTATATAAACATCGGCTGCCCGAAGTTAACTTTCTTGTTTTTGCATTATTTCCTTAATATATATAAACATTTTTATTATATTTCAGTATATTTCAGTCAGAAGTTTGCAACGCAGTGAAGGAATTGTTTATATATTCTTGATCAGCATCACTAGACGAGTCGATCTCCCATAGGGAAAATCGGAAAATCCGATTTTCGATTTTAATTTTATCAAAATTGAACTACTACATCATATAGCTTCCATAGGAACGATCGAAAAATTAATGAGAAATAATATGCAATTTAACATTTTTGCGTTTGTAAATTAATAGAAATGATCTGCGAGGGTATATAAGCTTCAGCTCGCCGAAGCTATCTTCCTTTCTTGTTAAATATTTGTTTTTAATTTTTTTTTTAAATTGTATTTATTAAGAAAGAAATTGACAAAATGTAACACAAAATATTTTTGTTATATTTGTATTTTATTTAACATATTCAAAAAGTGTTTTAAAAATATTTTATTATTAAATGGAAATAAAAATTAAATCAGTAATTTTTTAATTGATTAAAAAACAAGAGAGAACGCTATAGTCGGGTTGTTGTCCCGACTATCTAATACCCGTCACTCAGCTAAAGGGAGTGCGAACGCTATTGCGGGTTGGTGTCCCGACTAATAATCGTAACTCAGCCAAAGGGAGTGCGAGGGAGATAGATATATAATTTTTGATTGCGTATAACTTTTTAATGAATGGTCCGATTTGAAAAATGTCTTCTACATTTCGATAGGTATAAATATACACAACAATATTGCATTTATACTTCTCGGAAATCTTTAAAGATGTGGGCGCAGGACCCATTTTAAAATCGTTAGTGGGCGATTGTGGGCGTTAGAGGGGGCGTGGCGCTCGGCTAAAATAAACTTGCGCTGCGTAGGAAGCCAAAGAATATGTGTGGGAAATCTCAACCTTCTAGCTTTTGTAGTTTCTGAGATCTCAGCGTTCATACAGACGGACAGACGGACAGACAGACAGACAGACAGACAGACAGACGGACAGACGGACATGGCTAGATCGACTCGGCTAGTGACCCTGATCAAGAATATATATACTTTATGGGGTCGGAAACGCTTCCTTCTAGCTGTTACATACTTTTGCACGAATCTAGTATACCCTTTTACTCTACGAGTAACGGGTATAACAAGAAAGGAAGATAGCTTTGGCAAGCCGAAGCTTATATACCCTTGCAGATCATTCTATTAATTTACAAATCGCAAAATGTTACATTTCCTATTATTTCACATTAATTTTTCGATCGTTTCTATTGCAGATATAGTAGTTCGATCTTATTAAAACCGAAATTCGGAAATATTTAAAATAGTCATATCCCAGAGTAGAAGGGAATGTAATAAAAATCAACAAAGATATCATTTTTATACCCGTTACTCGTAGAGTAAAAGGGTATACTAGATTCGTGCAAAAGTATGTAACAGCTAGAAGGAAGCGTTTCCGACCCCATAAAGTATATATATTCTTGATCAGGGTCACTAGCCGAGTCGATCTAGCCATGTCCGTCTGTCCGTCTGTCTGTCTGTCTGTCTGTCTGTCTGTCCGTCTGTCCGTCTGTCCGTCTGTCCGTCTGTATGAACGCTGAGATCTCAGAAACTACAAAAGCTAGAAGGTTGAGATTTCCCACACATATTCTTTGGCTTCCTACGCAGCGCAAGTTTATTTTAGCCGAGCGCCACGCCCCCTCTAACGCCCACAATCGCCCACTAACGATTTTAAAATGGGTCCTGCGCCCACATCTTTAAAGATTTCCGAGAAGTATAAATGCAATATTGTTGTGTATATTTATACCTATCGAAATGTAGAAGACATTTTTCAAATCGGACCATTCATTAAAAAGTTATACGCAATCAAAAATTATATATCTATCTCCCTCGCACTCCCTTTGGCTGAGTTACGATTATTAGTCGGGACACCAACCCGCAATAGCGTTCGCACTCCCTTTAGCTGAGTGACGGGTATTAGATAGTCGGGACAACAACCCGACTATAGCGTTCTCTCTTGTTTTCCTATTAATTTCCCGTTAATTTTTAGACCGTTCCTATGGCAGCTATATGTTATAGTGATCCGAGTTTTAAAATATTTAATTCGAAATTCAGAAAAATATAAAAAATATTATTCCCAAGAGTAGAAGGTAATATTTGAAAACACACCGAAGCTAGAATTTTTTAACGTTTTTTCCCGATCCTTCCTATGGGAGCTATATGATATGGTTGTCCTATCCGATCGGTTTCGACATATATACTACCTGCAATAGAAAGAAGACTTTTGGAAAAGTTGCATCCCGATAGCTCAAAAACTGAGAGACTAGACGGACAGTCGGACATGGCTAGATCGACTCGTCTAGTGATGCTGATCAAGAATATATAATACTTTATAGAGTCGGAAACGTCTCCTTCACTGCGTTGCAAACTTCTGACTGAAATCATAATACCCTCTGCAAGGCACTATGGGTCATTTGACCTGTTTTTTTGGCATTAATTAATAATTCCAAAACAAAGCAACTTTTTTGAGTTTGGTTTTTTGAAATATGTTTATAATAATTAAATACATCTTTTTGAGCAAAAATTAAACACTATAATAAATTTATTCAAAAAAATAACTTTTTTTCTTAAACCTACAAAAAAAATGTTTCTTTTATGGTTTCTAATAATGAAGAAACATATTAAAACAAACAAAAAAACATTTTTTTTAAAACTTTCTTCTTTGAAGAGATATTGACTTTTTCCTGTAAAATCCGACATTTTTGTATGCCAAATACTGGACATGCCGTATAAAAAAATATTTTCCATTAAAATAAGACGCGGAATTTTTTTTAAATCAAATATAATGTTATGGCGAAGACTTTTGCATTAAATTTATTTAACATTTCATCTTACAAAACAAGAAGAAGACAAATAAAGTGTTAATTTGACCATTTTTGGCAGTGCCGTAAAAATTGAATTTCTCTTAAAGTCGCAAAAAATGCACATTAAGACTGGATGTCCCAAATCGAGAATTGACCCCCCTTTAAAATAATCCAACCCAGGCTCAACAAATTTCAACATTTTTTCTAATCTCTATTCAAAGTTGAACTTTCTTTTTCCAAACCTATTAAGAGAGACTACTTGGTATATGAAGCCATTGCTACAAATACACTCACGAAATAAGCATCACAGTAGTATTAACATAAAGTAAGAGCAGTTTTAATGAATATCGATTTCAAGTTTTATGGTTCTACGTCTTGTCGTTAAAGAGATATTAATTTATATATGCACTGCAAAATCAAGCAAAGTATAAACACTTTGTGTTCGCTTGCTGCGCCTGACAGCTGTTATTTTAACATTTAAAATATGTTAACTTAACATTTGCGGAGTGTAACATTTCATTTTGATCTCTTCTTAATACGTTTCCAATAATGTTTCAAAAATTTGAATACTTGTAAAAAACATATTTATGCCAAAAAAACAGGTCGAATTCCCCATAGTGCAAGGGTATAATGACTTTTTACTTATTGTCATTCAGAAATCACTGTGGCCAGCCACGTAGTGACGAAGCGCACCAGGAGCGTGTGCGTAGACGACTACTATTATAAAGCCGCAGAATTGAAAATCTGCTGCTATGGTCCGATCATAATGAGTGATACACCAATCGAAAGAAATCGCAAAAACTAACAGGATTGCATACAAAGACTTAATCAATTTCAATTGATTTGGGAGAGAGAGTGTTAAAATTGTGAAAGTGAAAATTTTGAAAACTGGAGCTCGGCTGAAATAAACTAGCGCTGCGTAGGAAGCCAAAGAATATGTGTGGGTAATCCCAACTTTCTAGCTTTTGTAGTTTTCGAAATCACAGCGTTCATACGGACGGACAGACAGACATGGCTATATCGACTCGGCTAGTAACCCTGATCAAGAATATATATATACTTTATAGGGTCAAAAACGCCTCCTTCTCTCTGTTACATACTTTTGCACGAATACAATATACCCTTTTAATCTACAAGTAAAATAAGATAAAATAAAAATAAAAAAATACAAAACAAATTTAATATTCTACTTTGCCCTTATCCTAATTATTCGTTGTATATACATAGATTTCAGCGCAGGCGACTACAGTGAGCCCGTTATGACCCACATTGGCATTGCCCACACTCGATGGGCCACCCATGGCGTTCCTTGCGAAAGAAACTCCCACCCCCATCGTTCTGACGACGGAAACGGGTTCGTCGTAGTCCACAACGGTATTATCACAAACTACAACGATGTGAAGACCTTTTTGGCAAAGCGTGGCTACGAGTTCGAGTCGGACACGGACACAGAAGTATTCGCAAAGCTGGTACACCATCTTTGGAAAACCCATCCCACCTACTCGTTTCGCGAGCTGGTCGAGCAGGCCATCCTCCAAGTGGAAGGCGCCTTTGCCATTGCCGTGAAGTCCAAGCATTTTCCCGGAGAATGTGTGGCCTCGCGGCGTAGTTCACCACTGCTGGTCGGAATCAAGACAAAGACGCGTCTTGCCACAGACCACATTCCCATTCTGTACGGAAAAGGTAAGCTGTCGAATGAGTCTTCAACTATTGCTGCTTCCGCAAATGCAGTTTCTTTACCAACCATATCCTTTGTCTTCTATCTATATGTAAATAACTGTCTGGGTGTCGTGTGTATCGGTTTGTTACTTATAACAACCGCCACTTTGAACTATCTTCCCATCCTGCCTGCTGCAACTGTGCCGCTCGATGTCGAACAGCAGACGACAAGAAACTAGGCCCAGATCAAGGTAGTCACTTGACTAGCCCGTATGCTTTCGAAACGATAATCTGGCGCTGTGGGGCTTTCTAAACACTAACCCAAACTTGCCAAAGATTTCTAATGCATTTCTTTCTAATATATTCAAGTTGAGTCAAAATCTGCCAAGTGGGCCACCCCTGTTCCGAAGGTCCGATTTTCATCGAACTTTTTTACTTTTCCGGTTCACAACGAAAATATAAGAACTTCATTTGAACGGTTTTGCGAAATTTTGAGTTTTACCGGAGTTATAGGGGTCAAAACATGGCATTTTTGACACTTTTTCGAAAAAGTTGCACTCAGTCATTAATTCATAACTTCGGAACGGTAAGAGATATCTTTATGATGTTTTCACTAATCGCTCAAGAATTATTATGGCTTTCCATAAAAAAATGTAAAAAAATTAAAATTTATTTTTCTTAAAAATAAATCAACATTTTTTTAGTTTTTATTTTTTTCAGTGTTCTTCACCAGCTATAGAGTTTAAAACCATTTGAAAATGAAGTTTGATTCATTACGAAAAAGATCCAAAAAAAAAAGAGTGGCCCGGACAAAGGTTTTTCGCAATATCGATTTGAAGAAGGGCGCACAGCGGTTTTCCATACAAAAACGGCTTGCTCGTGAAAATTGGCTGGTCAACACATGCCGTTGCGCGCGTAGCGTCAGCCGACTGCAGCTGTCAATGAGGCACTTCTTGTCGTTTTGTATGGAAAACCGCTGTGCGCCCTTCTTCAAATCGATATTGCGAAAAACCTTTGTCCGGGCCACTCTTTTTTTTTTTGGATCTTTTTCGTAATGAATCAAACTTAATTTTCAAATGGTTTTAAACTCTATAGCTGGTGAAGAACACTGAAAAAATAAAAACTAAAAAAATGTTGATTTATTTTTAAGAAAAATAAATTTTAATTTTTTTTTACATTTTTTTATGGAAAGCCATAATAATTCTTGAGCGATTAGTGAAAACATCATAAAGATATCTCTTACCGTTCCGAAGTTATGAATTAATGACTGAGTGCAACTTTTTCGAAAAAGTGTCAAAAATGCCATGTTTTGACCCCTATAACTCCGGTAAAACTCAAAATTTCGCAAAACCGTTCAAATGAAGTTCTTATATTTTCGTTGTGAACCGGAAAAGTAAAAGTTCGATGAAAATCGGACCTTCGGAACAGGGGTGGCCCACTTGGCAGATTTTGACTCAGTTTATAATTTATTAACTTAATACTTTTTATTTCATCATCTTTAATTTGTTTAGACTCTGACTCTGGCAAACCGCAAGGTAACTAAAATTTTTATTATTTTTATTAAGCAAATTTAAATATCCGTTTTTGCTTGGTTTTGGTCCTCTTATTAAGCTTTGAACCCATTTTTAAATTCTGACTGTACTCACTGGTATGATTTAATTAATGTCCGGAAGGAAACATTTTGTAGCTTTGGAATTCATTTCAAAGCAAAATATACATTAGGACAAAAAAAAGTAACAATAAAGTACGCAGGAATAAAACTCATGGTCATATCAACCAAGTTTACACAAAAAAAAATCGATTCGCAAAATTAAACAATATAATAGTATAATGGTCCTCGAGAACCACTATATAGTTACACTTAGGTAAAGCGAAAATTATAAAAAATAGTTATGCGACAAAAATAGTAGGGGAGAGTGGGGTAATTTCGTCACAGGGGCAATTTCGTCACCTGCAATATCTCGGAATCCATAAGTCTTAAAAATATATTTTTTTTTTGTTTTAGTCCCTCAAGACGGCATGACATAACCAATGCATTTTTTTTTGCACAGAAGGCCAAAATAATTAAGCTATATTATTAAATGTGTTTTAACAGTTCAAAAGCTACATTTATTTCTCGACGAAATTTTTTCTGTATGCCACAATTCAAAAGGAATAAGATACACGATTTTTTAAATAATACACAGTGCTATAATGTGCATTTCTGCGCTAGTGATTTTTAACTTCGCGCCTAATTTCGGAAGAAAAATAATTATTTCTAAAAAAGTACTGTCTGGGGAAATTTCGCCACCCTATGCTTAGGGTAAATTCGCACCTATTTTAAATACATATTTTTTTATTTGACGAGCTGGCTAACGAACAGACTACCGGCAGCAGCAACAAATATAGGACGTCAACAAAAATGGTACGCTTGATCAGTGTAGCATACTTACAGGCGTAAAGTTCCATACATTTTTCAGGTGACGAAATTTCCCCAGTTGTGTGGCGATTTTACCCCCCTATGTGGCGAGTTTGCCCCAGTATATTGGTTTTACTTTTTAATTTTTTATAAATCACCAAGGTAATTAAAAAAATAGGGGAATGTCACATTTTAAAGCTTGGTGCTAACCGCATTCAACAATAAAAATAGAAATATGATAACGTGTCTCAAGATGGACAAAAAATAGCTTTCAAAAAATGCTGACGGAATTACCCCACTCTCCCCTACATGCAAAACATGTAAATTTTTTGAAAGAACATCAGCATCAAACTATTCTAATGTAAAATAAATTGTTTAAAGCTTCCCCAAATGGTACTTGATTGATTGAATTTTCTAGATTCATTGTATCATTAAATATTCCCAAATTGACTTATTCAAAGCAATTTAAAGAAATCGGTTTTTGTTTTAAAAATGAATAATATAATTTTATTTCATCGAATTTATTTTCAATTCATTTCTTTCTTTGCTGATGGGTGGGACCTACACTCAATTCCCATTAACCACACATAAACACACGCACTTGCTCTTGCTCACAATGGGTGCAATTGAATTGTGCTTTTTGGCTTCCATTGCCATGGTGGAACTGCCGGCACGCAATGCCATTAACGTCACCGCTAAAATCAACTCAACAATGCAACTGTACATCCAACGGAACGAAACATTACCGCAATTAAATTGCAAAATTAACCAGAAATTCGTCCACATGGACAATCCCGTGAACTACCAGTGCTTCCGCGTTCGGAGAGCACTTCTGAATTTATGCCCTTGGAGGAAAAGGAAGTTGAATACTTCTTTGCATCAGACGCCTCAGCCGTCATCGAACACACAAACCGGGTGATCTATTTGGAGGTAAGATCCAAGATTATTTCCCATTATTATGTTTATGCATAAGGGTTTATTCCAATTCATCTTGTTTTAATATCCATATTTTCCTAACTAAGCATAATAAAAAATGTCTTTCCTAACCTATATGAGTGATTCTTTGTGAAACGTATCGAGATTTTCTTAATGGTCTCAAAACGATATCTCATTCTTATCACGACATTTCACCATTTAAAAAGAATTTTTAAAAAGGTAAAAAAAAATCCATTTGACAGAAGCGAAGATATGGCGACGCTTTTTTTTTGTTTAAATAATTTTTAACTTTAAATTACGTGGGGTATAAAATAAATAAAAATAACACCCATAATGGTTCCAATGCAAAGTATAGTCCAAACTTAAAAAAAAAAATTTCATTCGCGGTTTTCTGCAAATCGGCATTTTTAATCTTTATAAAAAAATAGTATAATGTTCTATACATAATTCTTGTTGGCCCCTGAAAGTTTCGTCATGGGACCTCCATTACATTCTGCATAATTTAAAAAAACAATAAAAAACAAAGCAGTCTTTCGTTATACATTAAATTATATCACTATGGACGACAGTCCATGTAGTGACGAAGCGCACCAGGAGAGTGTGCGAAGGCGACTAGTATTATATAGCCGCAAAATTGAAAATCTGCTGTGATAGTCCGATCGTAATGAGTAATACACCAATCGAAAGGTATTGCAAAAACTTAAATTTGGAATTTTGGAATATTTTTATTTATTTTATACCCCACGTAATTTAAAGTTAAAAATTATTTAAACAAAAAAAAGCGTCGCCATATCTTCGCTTCTGTCAAATGGATTTTTTTTTTACCTTTTTAAAATTTTTTTTTAAATGGTGAAATGTTGTGATAAGAATGACATATCGGTTTGAGACCATTAAGAAAATCTCGATACGTTTCACAAAGAATCACTCATATGGGAGTTATAGGTTAAATATGGGATCGATTTTAATGTCACGATTCAAGTAATTTGGTAATTGATAATTTATACTATAGAAGGGATAATAAAAATTAGATTTCTTAAACATATTGAATGAAACAAGCTTCTCCAAAGAAGATCTACCTATAACATCAATGATTAAACCAAGTTCTAAAATTCGAAAGATACAATGAAATAGTAGTAGTAGAAAACGGAACGCCTAGCCTAGGTAAAACGGTTTTTCCGAAACCAAAAATTAAAAAAAAAAAACGGAGTCTTACTATATTTTAACTACATCGGAAATGGTGGCGGGTTAAGCAATACTAGATTATTTTTAATGCTTTTATTTTCCAAAATTATAATTATAGTTCTCCCAGAATGCTGACCGCCGCAAAATCCTTTTAGGGAAAACCTTGTCCCGAGGCACACTATTAGATACTATCGAATAGTCAAGGCACTCGACCATAGCGTTGCCCTTGTTATAGCAAGATCTATAATTTTTTATATGGGGCTAGATCGATTGAAATGTTGATGCTAGTCAAGAATGCGTACCTATATATTTGTAAGCCCTTGTCCATCACGCCATGTCTGTCTTCCGTTTCTATGCGAACTAGTCTCTGAGGTTTGAAGCTTTAGCGATGAAACTCCCAAAAGTCTTCTTTCTACTGTAGGTACAATGTACCTGATATAATAATAATAATAATACTGTTATACCTAAAGGCTAGGTATGCCGAAGTTAACTCTTTTTCTTGTTTATATTCGATTTGTTTATTTACTTTAATGAAATTTTTTTTGTAGGACGACGACGTTGCCGCAGTTAGAGATGGTACACTGAGCATCCATCGCTTAAAGAAGAGTCTAGATGACCCACACGCACGCGAAATCACTACCTTAAAGATGGAAATCCAACAAATCATGAAGGGGAATTATGACTACTTCATGCAGAAAGAGATTTTTGAGCAGCCCGACTCCGTGGTCAACACGATGCGTGGGCGAGTCCGTTTCGACGGAAACGCGATTGTGCTCGGCGGTATCAAGGAATACATTCCGGAGATTAAACGCTGTCGCCGTTTAATGCTGATTGGGTGCGGTACTTCTTACCACAGCGCGGTAGCCACCAGGCAGCTGCTCGAGGAGCTTACTGAGCTGCCCGTAATGGTCGAGCTAGCCTCCGACTTCCTGGATCGCAATACACCTATATTTCGAGACGACGTTTGCTTTTTTATATCGCAGTCTGGAGAGACTGCAGATACTCTGATGGCCTTGCGGTACTGTAAGCAGCGGGGAGCCTTAATTGTGGGCATCACGAACACCGTAGGCAGCAGCATCTGCCGCGAATCCCACTGTGGAGTGCATATTAACGCCGGTCCAGAGATTGGAGTAGCTTCGACTAAAGCCTACACCTCACAATTTATTTCCTTAGTGATGTTCGCGTTGGTTATGTCCGAGGATCGTCTTTCCCTCCAGCAGCGACGGTTGGAAATTCTGCAGGCGCTATCCAAGCTGGCAGACCAGATTCGAGCCGTTCTCAAGCTGGATTCAAAAGTTCAAGAGCTGGCCAAAGACCTTTACCAACACAAGTCCCTACTGATAATGGGTCGCGGCTACAATTTCGCAACCTGCCTGGAAGGCGCTCTGGTAAGAATCAATCTTAGACTTTCAAGACTGCCTTTTAACCTCTCCAGACTCTTTTCTTTTCAGAAAGTCAAGGAGTTAACGTACATGCACAGTGAGGGCATCATGGCCGGTGAACTAAAGCATGGCCCACTGGCCCTCGTGGATGACTCAATGCCAGTCCTGATGATAGTCCTACGCGACCCGGTCTACGTCAAGTGCATGAATGCTCTGCAGCAGGTCACATCACGCAAGGGCTGCCCGATTATTATCTGTGAGGAAGGAGACGAGGAGACTCAGGCGTTCTCCTCCCGACACTTGGAGATTCCACGCACCGTTGACTGTCTGCAGGGAATTCTCACCGTAATTCCAATGCAACTCCTGTCATACCATATTGCAGTGCTCCGCGGATGCGACGTTGACTGCCCCAGAAACCTAGCCAAGTCCGTGACGGTTGAATAAGAGAAATACAGACTCGAAACACCAAACAATCGGATTTCATTTTGACTTTCTGCATGATAATCTCTACTTTTCCTCGATGAACACAATGCACCATTATTATGAAATATTACCACTAGACACGTAATCGTCAAGGAAATAAAAAATTTATTAAAAAAAACTATTAGCTGAAGAGGTTACAATTTGGTAATTGATAATTTGGTATTGGTAACTTATACTATAGAAGGGATCATGCAACTTAGATTTCTTAAACGTATCGAATGAATCAAGCTTCTCCAAAGGAGATCTACCTATAACATTAATGATTAAACCAAGTTCTAAAATTCGAAGGATACAATGAAATAGTAGTAGTAGAAGACGGAACGTCTAGCTCCTTGAATTTAAGCGAGTTTTTTTTTTAAGTGTGAATAGCTTTTAAATTAACTAGGGAGTGTAGGGTAATGTGACGAACTCGTCGAATCTCACATATGACGTCACGACAAAAATTCCAAATAAATGTAGTTGTCTCCCCTTATCGTGTCGACAATTTATGTAGAGCAGAGTGGGGCAATTTCGTAACTGGGGCAATTTCGTCACCTGCAATATCTCGGAATCCATAAGTCGTAAAAATATATAATTTTGTTGTTTTAGTCCTTCAAGACGGCATGACACAACCAATGAATTTATTATGCACAGAAGGCCAAGATAACTAAGCTATAATATTAAATGTGTTTTAATAGTTCAAACGCTACATTTAGTTCTCGACGAAATTTTTTCTGTATGCCACAATTGAAAAGGGATAAGATACAGGTTTTTTTTATATAATACACAGTGCTATAATGTGCATTTCTGCGCTAGTGATTTTTAACTTCGCGCTTAATTTCGGAAGAAAATTAATGGTTTCTAAAAAAGTACTGTGTGGGAAAATTTCGCCACCCTATGCTTAGGGTAAATTCGCACCTATTTTAAATACATTTTTTTTTTTAAAAAAAGCTGTCTAACGAACAGACTACCGGCAGCAGCAACAAATATAGGACGTCAACAAAAATGGTACGCTTAATCAGTGTAGCACATTTACAGGCGTTAAATTCCCTAAATTTTTCAGGTGACGAAATTGCCCAAGTGGTGTGGCGATTTTACCCCCCTATGTTGCGGAATTTCCCCAGTATATTGGTTTTACTTTTTATTTTTTTATAAATCACCAAGGTAATTAAAAAAAAGGGGAATGTCAAATTTTAAAGCTTGGCACTAACCGCATTCAACAATAAAAATAGAAATATGATAACGTGTCTCAAGATGGACAAAAAATAGCTTTGAAAAAATGCTGACGAAATTGCCCCACTCTCCCCTACAGTAATATTAATAAGAAGTCCCGTAATTTCTTCGTGAGGTTTTTTTTTCTAAAAAGGTGGTGCGCAAATTAGCAAACTTATTCAATTTATTTGTGTTTCAGCAGTGCCAGAGTGAAGATGTGTTGAAAATAAAATCAATTAAATGTATTCACGTATAAATGAGATTTTTATCAACAGTTTTTGGTACTTGGCGCTTTTTATTTTGCTCCGTTTGAGAGAAACACCGTTTTTGCTCCAAGTGTACCTTGAAGGGTATTGTGACAAACATTTTATATTGTATGGTGACAAATTTTGTTTATTCAAGAATTTTAATTGTTATCGTTGATTTTGTGTAGAAAACTTAAATATTACCAGATATCATTAAGGGCCGGTTTCTCGAGTGCCGGCTAACATTTCTCGAACAGATAAAGTCCCTGCTAAGGCATTTTGGCTTTCTCGAGCATAAATGTGAGAGCTAACTTTGACAGGGATTCGGAGTCCTGTTAAGCGTTTTCGACTCGATAGAATGACAGCTGATTTCCCAAAGCCAACTATGAAGAAGAAACAAAATCACAGCTGACTTTTCCTTTAAATTATACCCAAACAGCTGATGAAATAATCGAAGCATGCCATTTTTTTGCGCTTCACAGCACAATTCTGTGCGTTAACAGCACTCTGTAATTGTTTCTCGTTCAGATAAATTAAAGCACTCGAGAAAGCGGATTTGCTTTTACGAACAGTTTATCTGGTATTTAAGTTTTTCGAACAGATAGCTATCAGGGACTTTGACAGGGACTCGAGAAACCGGCCCTAAATGCTGCAGTTTTGTTGTAGTTTTGTATTGTTTTTAGTTGTGCCGTCAGTTGGAAAGGCTGGCTCACGCCAAAAGCTGTGGGATGTAACTCCGATGGAATTTCGAATCCTAATTTTACAAAAATATGCTCAGTAGGTGTAAGCAACTTTCTGCTTTTACACTTTTAAAAAATATTAATTTCACTAGTTTACAGCTGAAATGCTCCAATTGATGGCAAATTCTGTTAATTTTGGACCCCTAGTCACGAAAATAGCACTTTTTTTTTTTCGATCGCACAGTTTTTTAAAGATTTTTTAAAGTTCGAAATGTTAAATTTCTGACTTTATTCGAATTTCTTATTATATTAATATTATAAAATATTATAAAATATTAATTTCACTAGTTTACAGCTGAAATGCTCCAATTGATGGCAAATTCTGTTAATTTTGGACCCCTAGTCACGAAAATAGCACTTTTTTTTTTTTCGATCGCACAGTTTTTTAAAGATTTTTTAAAGTTCGAAATGTTAAATTTCTGACTTTATTCGAATTTCTTATTATATCTCGGCAGATATCCACTCGATTAGGCCAGTTTTAGTTTTATTTTAAAGTCAATAGATCAATTACAAAAATTACAACAACAAACCTTTAAAAACACAGGGCGGCAATACTACTACTATTTTGACCGCAGCTGTATGCTTTTATGTTTTTTGACTATCTTTAAAAATCCAAAAAAATCACAATAATTACTTAAATAATTAGAAGTCGCGTAAGGGGTACTTTGTAGAACAAAAAAAGACCCAAAGTGCACAAAAATCCGATTTGTTTTTTTTTTTTTTTAATTCATTTTTTGTTATTTCTCTGTTATAAATGTTGTTAAAATGATTTAAAAATGTGATGTTCATAATCTTATGGCATACCCGCAAATAACTGCATTTAAATTTCTTGGAGATTCAGCATCCTTAACCAAGTCCCCAATATTTTCAAATTTTGCTAAACTAATGCGACGTCACGGCCTCCCCATATGTATGTATGTTTTGCTGGCGCACTTTGTATGTATGTATGCTGCCTGCTATCGCACTTTAAGTGTGACTGCGCAAGGGGAAAATAAAAAAATACCACAGTCAACAAATTTAAAATGAAAATACCACAGTCATAACAGTCGAAATTTTCCTTAAAATTGCTTTTATTTTTAAAATGCAAAAAACTGATCAGCAAACTATTTATTAGTTTTCAATCGTTGAACTATTGACAAATTGTTGAGTTGTAAAAAACATTATTTCGCTCCGTTGCACACACACATGGTCGAAATATATAAAAGCCACAGCCGCATTGCAGCTGACTAAGGAAGTGCGATTCGCTCAGATTCAAATTCATGATAATACTGTTATCCTTTTGCTAAATGAATATTGAATTTACACTTCCACAACAGATTTAAAACATTTTCTTACATATTTTTGTGTTTTAAAATGCAAATAGCATTGAAAGTATACAAAAAAAAACTAAATGTTCAAATCAATTGATTCTCTTACCCTTCCTTACACGTGCCTCATATTGTTAAAACAAATGGAAATGGTTAAACAATTTGATTCACGGCATCCTCTTCCACCTGCCTTCCTTATTATTAATATAAGTCTAATCAAGGCGAAAAATGAATTGAAACAAAAATACTGAAGCAAAATATCTATAATAAAATGCGTAATTGCTTTTCTAAATGCTGCTTTTTAAATTAGTCAAATACATAAATCAAAACATTGCTTCGCGTAAACATTGGTTTCTCTTATAAGTGTTGTCTACTGTGGATACCTTCCAAAAACCCCCGTTAACCAATTCGCCAAGAGTATTTGGTTTTTTTCGTTTCCTATAAAAAATATTCCCTTTGATTTCATAAATCTTACCCACAATTAACTTATTGGTTGTTGGAGAGCTATATTTTCGAGAGAGATCTATCATTTAGCATTTTTTTTTAAATTAATGTAAGGATTTTTGTCGAAAAATGAATTTCTTTGTTTCTGTTCTGTGCAGCTGATAACTTACGCAAGCAATAAGAATTTTAGGAATTTTTTATGCATTTTTTTATATTTCTTAAGTAGTTTTCTTAGGACAATATACTGTTGTTTTTACGGAAATTAAGGAAAAAAGTTTTGATAAAATCTTTTCTCGGCTTATATGCTAAAAAAAGGAATTTTTTAAATTTACAATATCAACCAAAATTTACAATATCAAGGTATGCTTAGTTTTCAATTTTAATTTCCGCAGGCGAAGCTGCGGTATACCGACCCTGCTAGTATTTATATAAAACAAGAGAGAACGCTATAGTCGGGTTGGTGTCCCGACTATCTAATACCCGTCACTCAGCTAAAGGGAGTGCGAACGCTGTACTCAGGTTGGTGTCCCGACGAATAATCGTAACTCAGCTAAAGGGAGTGCGAGGAAGATAGATATATATTAACAATTTTGAATGCGTATACCTTTTTAATGAATGGTCCGATTTGAAAAATAAATATATATAAATATAAATATACACAACAAAATTGCATTTATACTTCTCGGAAATCTTTAAAGATGTGGGCGCAGGGCCCATTTTAAAATCGTTAGTGGGCGATTGTGGGCGTTAGAGGGGGCGTGGCGCTCGGTTGAAATAAACTTTCGCTGCGTAGGAAACCAAAGAATATGTGTGGGAAATCTCAACCTTCTAGCTTTTGTAGTTTCTGAGATCTCAGCGTTCATACAGACGGACAGACGGACATGGCTAGATCGACTCGGCTATTGACCCTGATCAAGAATATATATACTTTATGGGGTCGAAAATGTTTCCTTCTAGCTGTTACATACTTTTACACGAATACAATATACCCTTTTACTCTAGGAGTAACGGGTATAACAAGACTATTAATTTTTAAATCGCCAAAATGTTAAATAATTTTTCGATTAAAAATTAAAATTAAAATTCGAAAATATTTAAAAATAGTCATATCCCAGAGTAGAAGAGAATGTAATAAAAATTAACAAAGATATTTTTTTCCTATTAATTTCCATTTAATTTTTAGACCGTTCCTATGGCAGCTATATGATATAGTGATCCGATTTTTTAAATATTTAATTCGAAATTCAGAAAAATATAAAAAATAATATTCCCAAGAATAGAAGGTAATATTTGAAAAAACACCGAAGCCAGAATTTTTTAACGTTTCCTTCCAATGGGAGCTATAAGATATAGTTGTCCGATCCGGTCGGTTCCGACATATAAGCTACCTGCAATAGAAAGAAGTCTTTTTGGAAAATTTCATCCCGATAGCTCAAAAACTGAATGACTAGTTTTGCGTAGAAACAGACGGACATCGACTCGTCTAGTGATGCTGATCAAGAATATATATACTTTATGGGGTCGAAAACGTCTCCTTCTCTGCGTTGCAAACTTCTGACTGAAATCATAATACCCTCTGCAAGGGTATAATTAGGTCTTATATGAAAAGAAAGAAAACGTTTTGCTGCTGAACCACCGCAATTGTAAAAAATATTGCTGCAGCTAAATTGTTCATTATTAAGTATAAATAATATAAAAATTCATTTCTATTAATTAATCTTTTATTTTATCTCATTATTAAGTTTTTGTTTTATTATTTTAACTTTTTTTTTTAAATATGTTTTTATATAAACAAAATAAAGTTGCATGCGTTTTTTAAATCATTATATACTTGTCAAAAATTTCATTTTTCAATTTTTTTTATAATTATATAGAAGTGTTCACTCTCCGGTAACTCTTTTGCACTTGTAAAAAATACACGAGCCACCTATTGACCCCTAAGGGACCACTCGGTGGTCGATCCCTTTTCTACCCCGAAAGGTCCACCGGCCCCCTCGAGAACTACAGGGAGTGTCTACTCAGTGCTGTTTTAGCGCTCGGGCTGAATTTGGGAACTGCAGGGATACGCCATGGCGCGCCATTTTATGTATTTTGGTGCGGAGCGAATTAATGTTTTGTTTTTTTACAAATTCACAGTTTGTCCATCGGAAACGCTACCTTCTACCTGTTACATACTTTTGCACGAGTAACTCTACTCTACGAGTAACGGGTATAAAAACTATTTTAAAGAAACTTTCGACCTTTAAACCGTTACCAAAATCTAATGCTGATCGGAGCAGCATGATTTTGCATACAGGAAAATCTAATTTAAAAGTTAACGTTTAGATAAAAAAAATGGAGCAAAAGAAATGATTTGCGATATAATCGATTTTTTAACCGCGTTATTTGACTGTTTTATGGCTGTGGTATTTTAATTTTGGACGTTCACACTTATCTTTACGCTGACCTATACATATGTGGAGGCCGTAACGTCACAATGAAGACAGCCAAATTTTTAAATATTAGGGACTTGGTGAAGGAGGATGAATTTCTAAAAAAATTTAAATGCAGTTATTTGCGGCTATGCCATAAGATTATGAAAGTCATATTTTTAAAACATTTTAACAACATTTATAGCAGAGAAATGTTAAAAGAAAGAAATTAAAAAAAAAAACAAATCGAATTTTGGGGCCCTTTGGGGTCGTTTATTGTTTTAATTTGTACCTCACACGCGGCTCTAATTTTTTTAGGAATCAAGTTAATTTTTTAGATTTTTATGTCAATATGTTCTCGGTGAATTGTACTGACCATGTTTTGTAGGTCCTATTATATTAGTGTAGACAAACGTCTTTAGTTAGGGGTCCAAGTCTACCAGAGGCTACTATTATCCGTATTTCGTGTGTTTTGACTGTTAACCAGTATAATCAACAATGTTCTTTGAATATTAACATAAAGATTTATGTTGCTAATGACACTGATGTTGTTTCGGATTAAGAACAAATAGTTTTAGCAATAAACTATGATCCCACGATCGCTTACTTACTACTGCCTTATGACACTAGTGGTCTCATCCAGGGGCACTTGTATCGTGTATATATGCTAACCACTTCGAAATCAAGCATCGAAGAGAAGTGCTAGCCTCATAAAGCTTGATCAGCGATCATAAAATGACAACAATAACAGCTGAGGCATCTGCCAACGAACGGTATAAAAGTGAGCGTTGATTCGCGGCGGCCAGTCATAACGTGGAAACCATCATCATGCTCAAAACTATTTCAATATTGGCTTTGCTTGTTTGCAGCGCAGCTATTATGATAGAGGCGAAGCCAATTCTTATCAAGGTTTTCGCTCCCAGCGGTGATAAACCTTCTGGCATTTTGGAGTGAATACCACAATTTAATGATATCTGTTCCACTTCAGGTTACTCCAGTGGCAGTTACCAAAGCGCAGTGTCTCCCTCGCCCGTCAACGCGCAGTTAATCTCCAGCCTCATATCTTCAAAAATTCAGCTGCTAAACAACTTGCTGCAGGCCAAGTCTTCCGCCGGTGGCTTTCGTGTTGGTTTGAATAAGAGTGTCACTTTTTTCAGTTCCACAACCACAACGGAAAAGCCGGTAGCACACCACAGTAGCACTACGGAGGTATACACAGACTTTACTTCGGAAGATAGTAGCACTACTCAAATCATGTACACGAAAACCACAGAAGGTGCTATCGAAACGCCGAGTCCAACAATACATCCCGAGCATCCAGTCCCTACCAGCATGACTTCAGTTTACTCAGTCGAGAGGACTACATTGGTTCCGGAAGTTACCACCAAGTCGACCGCAACATCTGGCTATTCCTATCCCAATTTCCATCCTGCCGGCTTCCCATGACTAAGCCTAAGTTTAAGTTTAGGGGTACACTATTCGGCATAAGCATTTAGACGAATAAAAATCGTGAATAATCAATTTAACTTCAAAAAACTGATCGATCTTCTGAGTTAGGAATGAACTGCTTTTTAATAGACAACATCTTTCATTTTCGCGGATGCGATTCAAAACTAGTCGCACACTAGATTTTATAACAATGAGCAGCTTTCTGCAATTCTTGCCTGACTAGTGGTTATTAGCATATAAACAGGTTTTTGAAAGAACCACACATGTGTGTTAAAAAGCAAATATTAACTATTTCAATCAATGTATGCGTATTTAAACTTACTGACAGATTCAAGCGCAAAACACAAATTAGTTTGTAGCTACAAATAAATTACTATTTCAAGGCCACCTATCGTGTCTGGGCATACGCAACAATTAACAAGATAGGCAGATGGCTACGGCAAGCAGAATTTAATATGCAAGGGTATATATTGTATAGATAGTATAGATTGTTCTTACTACATAAAAATGTTTTCTCAAAAGTATTACTAAAATGTTAGATTTAGAGTAGATTTTAAAATAAAGTTACTGCTATTTTTGTATTATTTTAATATTAATTTTTTTATCCTTCCTATGTCAACTATTCTATGTCGTATTGTCGTCCATTTTTATACCCTTGCAGAGGGTATTATGATTTCAGTCAGAAGTTTGCAACGCAATGAAGGAGATGTATTCGACCCCTTATAGTATATGATGCAAAGTTGCTAAACTAAAATCGTTGCATACCAAATATTAAAATAACTCAAACGAGTCTCATGTGATGCATAACTGAAAAATCGGAACTAGTTTACAAAAATATTTTTTAAAAATAAACGGTAAGAGATAAAAAAAGAAAAAACAAAAACCCATCCTCATATTTCAATCCTCTATTAAAAAAAAAGTTTCGATTGATTCTGAGATTTGACCCAAATTGGCCTGTCACGTTTCACGTGGAATAAGCCATATATATTCTTGATCAGCATCACTAGACGAGTCGATCTAGCCATGTCCGTCTGTCCGTTCGTCTATCCGTCCGTCTGTCCTTCTGTCTGTCCGTTTCTACGCAAACTAGTCTCTCAGTTTTGAAGCTATCGGCTTGAAACTTTCCCAAAAGTCTTCTTTCTATTGCAGGTACTATATAAGTTGGAACCGACCGGATCGGACAACTATATCTTATAGCTTCCATAGGAAAGATCGAAAAAAAAACGTTAAAAAACTCTAACTTTGGTGTTTAAAAATTACCTTTTACTCTTGGGAATATTATTTTGTAAATATTTGTGAATCGAGTATTACTACAAAAGAGTAGATGTCGATTTGCTTCATGTTCCCCCAGCCCAAACCATAAGACCTAAAATTCTGGAAAAAATTGAGTCTGAATCGTGTGCTTGAGGAGGTGTGCACTAAGAAAGGACTTTTTAAAATTCGGCTCCTAAGGACTCCCAGGACTCCCGAAAAATGCTAATTGTTGTAAAATTTCGTCTCCAAAAGGCTGAATTACACCCACAGTTTTTATCCAAAAGAGTTGGATCTGGTTATTTAACTCCAGCTGTTGACATTGGGGCACATCTTTTTTTGTTTCCCTTACCATGTTGGCCGTAGCCTTCCATAGATATTTATACCCTTGCAGAGGGTATTATGATTTCAGTCAGAAGTTTGCAACGCATTGAAGGAGACGTTTCCGACCCCATAAAGTATATATATTCTTGATCAGCGTCACTAGACGAGTCGATCTAGCCATGTCCGTCTGTCCGTCTGTCCGTCCGTCTGTCCGTCCGTTTCTACGCAAACTAGTCTCTCAGTTTTCAAGCTATCGGGATAAAACTTTTTTATTTATTTATTTATTTAGCGATTAACTGCTAACTTAGACTTGAACAATAAAACTAACAATTAGGCATTAAATGCGGTATACAATAATAAATTTACATATTTGAATTTAGGTAATTGTAAATTTTACACGGTAAAGAACTTAAAGTTACATTTGGGGAGAGGATATCAGATAAAGTATTGTAATTGTGGCAAAGAGCACGAAAAGGTTCGTGTTGAGCTTAGTTAGACCTACATAATGGCAACCGCAAAGGTCGAAACGTGCGTGTAAATCTTGAAGGAACCGTGAGATCAATATAGGAAAGGAGAGTTTGTGAATCAACTAAACCGAGAAGAAGCTTATGAACAAACATAACGCCATTACAAATAACGCCATTACAAAATCGGACGCACTAACGATACATACAGAGTCTTGGTAGTAAACGGGTCATCAAATTCCTTGGACCATCGTTTTATAAATGCTAAGACCCCCTTACCATGGCTGCAATGTGATTATTGAAACACAGTTTGTGATCAAAAAGAACACCAAGGTCATTTGTCACAGAAATTCGATCAGGGGTATGATTTCCGAGGGAATATGAGACAAGATGAGGAGAGGAACGGTGAAAAGTCATAACTTTACATTTTGTATGGTTCAAAAAAAGAAGATTATTTTGGCACCAATTCTGGAATTCGTCAAGGTCGAGCTGAAGGCGTGTATGCAGATACCAGTCAGAATAAGACAAACAGATTTTAACATCGTCAGCATACATGAGGATGGAGGAGTTTAAAATTACTTGGGGAAGGTCATTTATAAAAAGTATGAAAAGTAATGGACCCAGGTGGCTACCTTGTGGAACACCAGAAGTTACATTGACAACATTTGAAAACACATTGTTAAACAAAACACGTTGTATACGGTTTGACAAGTAAGACGCAATCCATTTTAAAAGATTTGGAGTCTTCTTTCTATTGCAGGTAGTATATAAGTCGGAACGAGCCGGATCGGACAACTATATCATATAGCTCTCATAGGAACAATCGGGAAAAAAAAAATGTAAAAAAATTATATCTTGGGTGTTTTTGAACCTATAACATCCTACTTTTGGAAATGTCATTTTTTATCTAATTCTGAATTTCGTATAAAATTTTTTCAAAATCGGACGACTATATCATATAGCTGCCATAGGAACGATCGGAAAATTAATGGGAATATAATAGGAAATAAATTATTGCTTCGTTGGTTTTTATTGTATTCTCTTCTACTCTAGGATATAACTCTTTTCAAATATTTTCGAATTTCTATTTTAATTTTATCAAAATCGAACTACTATATCATATAGCTGCCATTGAAACGAACGCAAAAGTAATGAGAAATAGTAGGAAAATTACCATTTTTGCGATTTGTAAATTAATAGGAATTATCTGCAAGGGTATATAAGCTTCGGCTGGCCGAAGATAGCTTCCTTTCTTGTTATGTGTTATTTTTATATATGCCTTTTAGGGTTTTAAGTTTGTTTGGGGGTTAGATCTGGTGGATAAAAAAAGTTACGGTAAAAAAAATCGCACCCAAAATGATAGATTTGGCTATCAGAATGGTGGAGTTAAGGTGGGAATAAGGTGAGGTTAATGCGGGGTTAAGTTGTGGCTAAGGGGGTATTAGATAGATTAGGGTAAAAGTACTGTAAAAGAAGGGTGAAGGTGAGAAAGGTAAGGTTCGTTTGGAATTTGGATAAAGTGTGCAAGGTGAGGAAACATTTTAAAGGTAGGTTAGCTAAAGAGATGAAAAACTGGTGTTAAGGTGGAGAAAGGTGGTTAAAATTATGTTAATTCGGCATGAAGGGTGAGTATGGATGGGTTACATTGGGGTTAAGACAAGGAAATAATGCCCTGACTTTTTTAAAATTTGACAACATTTAGGAGTAGATAATGAAATAAAAAAAACGGTTTTATTAGTGTAATAAATCCAATAAAATGTCCTCATGAAAACGCTTTAAACCGAAATTAAAGCATACAATGAACAATAGATACAATGAATAGTTAAAATTAGTTCCTTTCAAAATTTAATTCTTAGAATTGTTTTTCTTTCAGAAAAATCTCTACAATTTTGGGATTTTCATCTTTGGCGTCGAATTGCAAAGACATGTTCACAATGGGGACCATTTTTTAGGAATGCCGTGATGTATTGAGAGTAGATTTCAGCGAAAATAATTAAAATAAGTCCCATTATATCGGCCACATAATTCGAAATGTCGGCAAACATCGGATTTTTGTATTCTTAGTTATACCGTGGAACCTGTAGGTGATAGAACATAAGTTTAAAGGGACTTTTACTCAGGAGCACCCAATTATCATGGAAAACTAGAAATGGTTCGTGGAAATTTTTGGCTTTGTACCTGTGTTATATGAACTTCTTGAAAGTGTTTCTCTGTTACTGTGCGTTGTTGTAGAGATAATATTTTCTCAGAGGAGTATTGTAAAGAACAAATTACACAACTCCATGAACATAAAAACCTTAAATTTGATAATGTACATAAGGTAAGTTTAAAATTTCAATAATTATAATAGAAATACAAATTTAACATATTAAACTTTTAATATTTTAATAAATATGGACTACACATACATGGAATCTTCCCATAATTATGATTTGCCTGATGAGTACTTAACCCAAATTACTGGCAATGAGAAGTATGCGGATTTAAGTGAGGCTGACGAGCTAGCATTATAAGCATCCTTTAATTTAATATAAACGTATATATCAATGATAAGAATTCATGTTTCATTTTAATTTAAGTATTTTGTTTATTATTTCTTAAATAAATTAGTCTTTTTGTTAAAAATGAACAATTTAAATATTTAGCCATTTTTTGGCCATTTTAGTAACTTTTTTTTCCAAATCTAGCAATTTTTGCTTCGAAGATTCTGGCAGCACTGATGCGGTATTAAGGTAAAGTATGTTATGGTTAGAAGGATATGGATAAAATATTAGTGCGTTCTAGGTGGGTTTATTGTTTAACTAAGTTTAGGTGGGATTTTACTCAAATATTAATTTAAATTTGGAAAAATGAAAAAACCAGCAATAAATGCTTTACTTATAGTAGCGGACAACGACGCTTCGGGTATTGCTAGTTGCGAATAAAATTAAGAAAAAATCCGAACACTTTATCATATAGCTGCCATAGGATCGGTCAGAAAATGAAATGCACGTTAATAGGAAAACAAATTATTGCTTCGTTGGTTTTTATTGTATTCTCTCTTACTCTGGGATATGACTCTTTTTAAATATTTCCGAATTTCGATTTTAATTTTATCAAATTAATTATCAAATAGTTCAAACTAAATCATATAGCTTCCATAGGAACGATCGGAAATTTAATGAGAAACAAGAAAGGAAGCTAGCTTCGGCCAGCCGAAGCTTATATACCCTTGCAAATCATTATTTGTTTGATCCTTCCTTTGGGAGCTATGTAATATAGACGTCCGAGTTTTGTTAAATTTTATTCGAAATTTTGAAATGTTAAATAAAAGCTATATCCCAGTGAAGAAGAGAATGTAATAAAAATCAACAAATATATAATTATTTAATATTAATTATACCCTTGCAGAGGGTATTATGATTTCAGTCAGAAGTTTGCAAC